AAATCTAGTGCATGCATACACCTGACCTCTTTGCTGATGTTCCTAAACTTCTCTGATCAATATAGACTTCGAAAACGAGAGGACCCCTAATCTGCCGAAACAAATCAGCCCAACCAACAAGTATGAGCTCTGTTCATAATTCCCAAAGTTCCATGAGATTCAATCACTGGACCTGGTTTTCACGAACAGCACTCCGTTGAACTTCATTCCATCGTCCCTTTGATAGTTGATTATCTTCTGCTGCAACTGGAAGGCTTCAGTGAAGAGTATTTCGAGGTCTGCAGAAATGTCGAAAATAAAACAGGAATCTGCCTTGTCCTGCTTAAAGTGTGCACCAAGACCATCGGTGAACAAATGTGGTCTGAATGTATGATAAATGTAGGATAAAAATTCTCTGGACGACTGATTGACAAGGAAAGTTCAGGCTGATCGATGCATCGATCAAAACACAGCGGGAGCATGTTGTGTGCACCGATGGAACAGCATTATTGGTCTGGAACACATAAGTTGCTTTCAGTTCTAGTAGCGGCTCCGATTGCTTTTTTAAGTACTTCTAATCAATTATGTTTCCGTTAATGTAATTTAGCTCACTCTCCTAATCAAATCAGGCAACTACCCAAAACGTGACAGAACTCATGTCCTCTTTCCGTTTATTTGCACTCATTTGCTCCGTGTACGCCTGTCCCTTTAAGGTTCCAGGTTCTTATATTTTCATTTGTTGTCCGCATCTGAATTCTTGCTTCATCACCTCACACGATAAAAGCCTTTTTGGACTGTATGCTAACGATATTGATGCATGGCAACTTAATGTCCGCATTTCGCTGGTAGTCGGTCATTCCGAGAACCTCTGTCGTGCATTCAAAGCGAACCTGTTTGACTCTCATGCTAGTGTAACGCATGAAAGCTAGATTTATGTTTCGAAAATGCTCCATCGTTGCAGCCTTAAGCTTGCCATANAGAGGTGTCACATGCATTTAGTCCGTTCGAAAACTGCAGATGTTGATTTATCGACTGAGTTCAGTATCCAAATGTCGTATTTGTTCGGAGCTAAAATGATGCGTATACTTGCTTCCCCCCAAACATGAATGGAAGTGAACCGACGTACAAATATAGCTTGCGCACGTACATGGCGGTCAAATCAATATCGTTCACGAACATTGAGTCATCTGGTTGATTTTTAGTGTGCTTTGGGAGATGTGTGTACGGATCGCGAGCACTATATATATAAATTTGTGCATATTTTCTTCTATTGGAGCTGGGTTCTCATTTTCTACCAGCAATGCATGGCTACTCTTCTAGTTCATTGAATGTCCAGTAACTTGCCCGACTCCTCTCATTCAACTTGCGTC